AAATATATATATTTAAATATTAAAATAGGCTACCTAGGATTTTTATAAAATGGCTTTTGAAAAGATAGCAGAGGCACAAAGAAGCCATATACTATCTTCCAATTGGACATAAGGTGCCACAAGGGTGCCCTACAAAGAGGCAGGCAATCTCTATCTGATGCAACAGGAGGCACCAGCAACAACAGAAAAATCAAATATATTATTGGGACCTGGACTGAAATCAAATTTTACTCTACAAGAGACTGTTGTCTTTTTAAAAAATATCTTGAAATATAAGCATTAGAAGACATCACTTTGTATAAGGAAGAAAATGAATAAAGTTTATGATCTCACTCCTGATCACCTGATGGCATTCATTTCAGGCACCTGAAAGATGAACAGCAGTGTAACTTTCAGTAATTTAATGGACCACTCTCAGTATGAGAGACTTTACATAGCATTTGTCAACTTGAAAACTGATAACTGAAATAAAAGAAAGCTCTTAGAGAAAACACAATTATAACCTAATCATAGAAAAGTTTCTTTCTAGAAAAAGCAGGTGTTTCTAGGAGCTGCATGAAAGGCTTCCCATCTTTAAATGAACACAGCCTCCACTAATACCAAGGAAACAGCATGTGTTTAGAGGAGATGATGGCTCCTCTTAATGTAGGGAAGATTGATCCTTCCTCAGCAGATGATGTACTTTGGTAACCTGAACATTCGTTTACAGGGTGATTTTTAAACCTGTTTAATTGAATAATGAAATCTGGATATGGTTAGACCGGTATTTGGGAAAACAGGGACAATTTAATAAAAGTCACGACACTGTAGAACCTCAAACCATCAAGAGCAATTTTATCAATAAATCATTACAACTGAGCCTAGGGCTTTAAGTGTACTCAGCAAAATCAGTCAGTTTAAAAGAGAAAGGCAATCATCAAAGAATCAGATTTTATAAACCAGGCACTTCAAACTGAAATTTAAAAATTTTAAGTCTTTAAAAATTTTTTTTAAAAAGTTTTTTGTTTTCAACCAATGGTCTGAACCCTTAAATTCTTCGAAAACTATTATGTACATAAGAACCTTGGTATTAGTTGGAACTGGCCTGGCCCCTATGCAGAGGGAGCTATATAACCGAACTAGCATATACACTTGAAGGCAGAGTCTCAATTTTTGGATCCTGCCAAATTGAGATGCCAGTACCATCATCTCCTGACATCTCTGCAGAGACTATTTGTAAAGATATGGAACGATTACTTTTTTTTTAATCATAAAAATATAATCACTATGATGTAGTAAATATCTAACTGTGTCAAGTATGAAGTTAAAACAAAAAGTACAGCTATGATGTCACTAAGAGTCTTCATCCCATAATCTGACATAGGCTTAACTCCCCATTAATAAATCTCAACATATTTATAATCTAAAAGTGAAACACCCATAGACTGTCTGCTCCTTAGTTGAACCTGGAGATTGGTTCAATTGTACTTCATTGTTAATGTGGAACCATTATTGCTTTTGGCAAATTACTCTTGCTGAGGACCTTCCAAATAAAAATACCCTATGGCCACCAACATGTTGTCAAGCAAAAAGGACACTGAAAGATAAAAAAGGGTATAGGCAAAATACAGAATAACTTAAATTGTGACGATTTGAGCCTAAAGCCTGGAGGAGTATGCTTAGCTATAAATATTCCTCATAGACATGGTTAATGTAATTGAGCACCCCCCATTCTGTACCACTGATTTAGAAAAGAAAATCTTGTTTGTATACATGCTTCTCTCAGTAACTTTCAAAATCTAAATATATTATAAATAAATCATCTTATGTCAATAACTTACGCTGAAAACCACATTTACTACCTTTTAGCAACTTTGGGTCGCTTCCAGATGTGAACTTTACTAGTTTTTTCCCTCCCAATTAATGTTAATAACTAGAAAACTATTCTCCCTCACTTAGTTGTATACTCCAGAGCTTCACATTTTCTAGACAGGTGGAAACAGAGTAAGTGCCACACAAAAGTTTTAATTCTCTTCATCAATTCCTTAAATCTCAAAGCCCTTTCAGGTACAATATTATAATTTTAGGATTGTTCATTCATCGAGTAATAAGATTAATTCTCTCCATGTGGTATACTAGTACAAACTGCCATTACCTTATAAAGTAATGTATTTCTCAGGGGCTACAAGGCTAAAAGAAACTAAACCATGATCTGAGAATCTTCAAAATAAAAGCCACTAAGCTAGATAACTCGTCTCTATTTAGATGAAGTATGAGAATAAAACAACAATAAGAGATAAAATAAAAGACCGAAAAGACTTAATACAACTTCCAAAGGCTCCCAGGGAACCATTTACACATCCGGAGAGACTGGCTCAGTAGTTAGAAGGTAACAGCGTTACCAACGATAAGTATATTAGATGTGCTGGCTGGTTCATTCCACTTGGTAACATATTTTAATAAAATGGAAGTTTTTTTGTTTTTAAAACCGAAGGGCATGTGTCATAACATGGAACCAGAATGTAAGTTCTGTAAGCCAGAATGGTTGCTGAAATGTTAAAATATAAGAATGAATGAAGCTATTTAAACATTTTAGTACACTTTTGCCTCACTGAAAGTGAGAACTTTAAAAACTGGCAATGTAACTAAATATATAACTAATTATTTAAAATGAAAATTAAGAAGGTTACTTTAAATTCAAAGTAAGAAATATCCATTTAAATACATTTGTGGGTGATAACCTCCATCTGCATCCCTTTCTCGAACTTAAAATTCAAAAAAATGAAAACAAGTATTAATGCTTTCGTTTCTGAATTAGTACAATCACTGACATGCTAGATGCTTCCACTGTTAGAATACACCCTTAAAAATGGAAAGAATGACTGCAGGAGCTGTAATATCCAGTATCACAGCAAACATCTTTGCTCATTTCTAAAGTATGTGTATCATACCTATTTGGTAGCTTTAAAATGAAAAATAAATGCTTTTCTTATGTAAAATACTTGGTTTAAAAAGGCAATTTATCTTGCATCCTAAAACTTAAGCCCTTTAACAAAGTTACCCCCCCCTTGGGCCTTTCAGAAAGATAGCTATGCTAAAGTATTCTAAACTGGAATTTTTTTAATGTTTAGTTATACTGGTAATTTCTAATGGATGAGATAGTATAACTGGCTTTCATCTCTCTGCAATGTTTTCCATATATTCTGGTAAAAATTATACATCCAGGCATCCTTCTCTTAGAGGAATTTTAAATAAATCTAAGTAGCACTATATATAATTATCCCTCATAGCTTAGTTTCCTAAAACAGATCCATAAGCTAAGTATCCTTAAACTGTGTATCAAGAAAAATGTAGAGCCTCACTGAAATAGAAAAAAAAAGGACTCTGTTTATATCACATGTTAAGTACTAGTTAGTTACCTATATTGATGAGGTTTGGGGAGCAGACAACCAACAATCGGCATTTTCACAGTAGATTCAAATGTTTCATAGAACTTGGAAATCTGTATAATTTGTAATTACCAATGAAAATCTACAGTTTCCACTTGGGAAAAAATAGCCAGTGATGGTGGTAATCCTACATTCTGAGAACACAGAACACCTCCGAGCTGCCAAAACTGTGTAGGACTCTCTTAATACAAAATTCTCAGGACAGGGGGTGTGCTAAAACACTTTCAACCCACAAATCTCCTAATGGTTCTGATATATTTCTTCTCATTAACCCTATTTCCTTCCTCCTTTTCTTCTTTTTTAAAAAAATAACTCTTAGAACTGAGGGCAACAATGACTCCTGGTCATAATTTTACCGATTCTTTGTTTTCTCCATTAAGATTTTAAAACTAACTTTTGAGATTTATCTACCGGTAGGCATAACAGTTTCCAAAGGATCTGTATTACATTAAAAATAAAAATTCCTGACCTTTCCAGTTGAGACACAGCAGTACCGCTATTAGTATCACAGTCTGTTGAAGAAAGTAATTCAACCTATTAGTAAAGAAGCATAAATAATGGAAGGCCATCATAATCGGTGTATGTTGATTTTCCTGAAGGTACTATACCTATGTTTGGGAGCAAAGAGGAAACAACAGGTTCATGAGTGAGAAAAGGAGTTGGAAACAAGTTAAAAATAGCAGAATATTCAAACAGACGGAAAGAACATTAGTCTAAAAAAAATCTTCAATGAGTTCACTTTCCCTTCCTTTACATTTGTAGTGGATAAAAGAAGTTACAGAATTAGCCAATTAAAAAAAAATGAAACAAATCACTATAACTTAGAAAAATTTTATTATTAACGACTAGCACCCAGACAAAACTGAGATCTTGTGTTTTGAAGAAGAAACTGTATTTTCTTTTTCTAACCTAAACAGGTGTTTTCATAATTATTAAACTTTGGGTATATACATAGAAAAAAAGAGTTACTCAAAAGATCATTGTTCACGGACTCATGAATATTTAGGATCAAGGTCAGTGATGCTTTAATGGCACCAGGTAAAAACGTATATTCCAGTCTAGAGTATCATATATATTTCAACTATAAACCACGAAGCTTCTTTTTTTTCTTTTCTTTTTTTAGCAGCAAGAGGTAATAGTCATTAATTTAAGGGTTTTAGTTTTTCTTTAGTCTTAACAATTCTTGTTTTGTCCCCAAATAGATCTGAGTCATAGATGGTCATTTTATAGACTCTCCTCTACTACATTATTGCTTACACTGAGGAAAAGCTATCCTAACTGCTCTTAATATGACATTTGGCAATGTCTTAAAATATTCTGGAATAAGGACAATTTATCACTGTCATATGGGTATTTTGTAAACAATCGCAGTTGGGTTAAGAATATAGCCTTAACAGAGAATTCTCTATTTTGTCCAAAACAGCAGAATAAAAACATCCTCAACAATACACAAACCTATGTATAAAATATAGAACATCTCCAATATATCTCCTTTTCATGGGATCATGCCAAGTATAGGCAAGAGAAAACTGATTTAGGCAATGACCCAATTAGCCAGGCATTAATATTCAAAGACCAGGTAAACAATAATTTTATCCAGAAAAGCCGTATGAAAGAGTTCCTATGAAGCCGATTCACATACTATATTCTCTGTTCCTGGTCATTTCATGCACAAGTTGACTATCCTTAACCATGGTTCTTCGCCTTCTTTCACAGAAGAAAGATTATTTGGAGGAGTGGTACTATAAAGGTACAGGGAACACCTATCCCAATACCAAATTTTCACCATGAAAAATTATCGTGACAAAGCTTAAAAAAACAAAACAAAACACAAAACACGTGGGATTTCAGAAGTATATACCCTAATAATTTTTAAGAAAGGTCACCATAAATACTTCCAAAAACAACAGGCTTTACAAAAGACTGTACAATATCCTGTGTATAGGAGTAAACATCTATTCAGGCCATTTGCCAGATTCATTCTGTAATATGTTTCTGGTGTACGCTTTCATTTCAGGAAGGTCAATAATCATCTGATTTCTTCTTGACCTAGTGATCTGTTGTTAGCCTACTCCTGATAATGGAAGAGGAAACTGATACAAGTTTTATGTCAGCTGGTTCTCCTTAAGTCTCAAGGTTTCTATTATATTTCAACACCATGTTATTGTGCACTTACAGAAGCAATCTCTCAGTCATGAAAAATAAAACATCAGTTGCAGAACTTACAAAGTAAAAAGGGAAATTCTTTCCCAAACCCTTTTTTGCTTAAAAAGTTAAATTAAATTCAAATGTACAAGACCAAGCACAGGCACTTTCCAAAAATCAAAAATGAAGCCAAACCATGAAATTACTCAATAGTTACAGAAGACAGCTCTGATTTTGGGGGGTCCTCTCTGGTTGCCTCGGCACAAGCACTGGTCTTTGGCTGCCCTGGCATTTCCTCCTCTTTTTCTGTCAGCCCACCAAGAGACCCCAAGGGAAAAGTGCTTTCACAATTCTGGGTCGAGGAGACCTGTGAAATTACAGGCATCTGGACAGAGGAGTTGTTTTCAAAACTGTGTTCTCCAAGATCATACTGAACAAGGGTCTCTTCTTGCTCCTGGTTTAAGTAGTCCGGTACTAGGAAATCACTAGGTAAGAGGCAAAGGATGAAACAGGGAGTTAATTTTCAAGCCAGTAATAAATAAGACACAATACAAAGACCTGATTTGTAAAACAAGATTGGGATTTTTCATTTCTCTAATTTTTGAATGAAGATTAGAACTCAGGAATTTTCAACTTCTAAACTTTCCTAAATATATGAACCAAAACCATCCATTAGAACCAAAGTATATCAACTCTCCCTACCACCAAGAGAGATAAGATTATCACCTTCAGTGTCACTCTGGACACCTAAACAGCCTTGCTTGTTCTATGTAGCAGAGTTTTTGTATACAAAACAGATGGAAAGAGCATGTTCATTTAAACAAAGATCATTTGAATAACTTCTGCGTAACTTTTCTTGGATTATAAACTAATTATAAGGTATATAAACCTAGCTTTTTATTACTTCCTGGATATAAATTAGTTAAGAAACTAAATCCTCAGGCATAAGTGACCTTTTATATAATCTACTATATAGAGAAATGTAAAAAACTATTTAGATGCTTGATTTAAATCTTTACAGTTAAACAAAAAAAAAATTCATTACACTTTATAATGTCAATAACTAATATACTTAAGGTTATTTTATAATTTGTCCACTATTAACAAAAAAAATTGAAGTCTGCTCATCTGCAAAGCAATTTAAGATGTCCTATGTTACATTTTCTAAAAAGTGTTCAGGTGTTAAACAAGAGTAGAGGATAGAGGGCTCAGTACAGGGAAGATATAGAAAACAGGCGTGGTTAACTGAGACACTATTTTAGTCCGGAACAAAGTTTGTTATGTCATGTATAATCTAGGTTTAGTGATATGATAACCAGACACCCAGAGTTAGAAATGATTACATTAAGCAAAATGTCTGGCTTGAAGAGAAAACAAAATCTATGCAGGAATAATTTACTGAAAAATAAGATTTAAAAAATGAAGGCAGTTAAAAATTTAAGATTTGATTTTATAAGAAACTAAGAATTCCTACAGATGTACAATTCTGATAAAGTACTAAAAATAGACAACAGAATTTTATATCTAGAGGGGACCTTAGAAATCATCTTTAAAGCTTTTACATTTTACCTTTCTCTATGTTTCAAGCTTCTTCATCTGTAAAGTGACGTGTTAAATCATAACACTAGTTAGTGGCAGAGCTAGAACTAGAACCTGATCCTTGGATACCCAATAAATCAGAAAGGTAACTCTATTATAAGTTTTTTATATTAAAAGCATGGAGCTCTAAACTGAAAGAAAAAAAGGAAAACTTCATTTGATGTAAATTATCATATCCATTAGTTCTACACCATAGTTGGTGTAGAATTTTCTCCCTTATTATTTAAAGAAAAAAGAGAGAAGTGGTCAAGAATTTAATTAACATCCAAAGAGTCTGAAGTAATCCACTATCACTAAATATCATCTGACACGGTAAATTCTCCAATAAGGTCTATTTTAAAATGTACTACAGAATTACTTTAACTTTGTATCTAAAAAAAACAACAACAAAAACCCACAAAAAACCCAAAACAAGCTGATGAGTAGTCTACTTCTGTAGGAAAAGATTTCTAATGCCAACTATAAATGTATTTAAAATTGTTTATACTTAGAAGGATCAGCAAAATTTGATCAGATCAGGAGATCAGAGCATTATTGGATAGTGGGAATTTAAAAGGAATATGACTGATTAGCTGGCAACCTGATAAAAAAAACACAGCAGGCTGCCCTAAAAGCAGGAAAAGAGAGTTTAGAAAGCAGTTTTCCTGGTTCGGTTTTTGTTGTGCACCTCACCTGCTCTGGAAGTAGTTTGCTAGCTCTGACGCTTCATGGTTCAGACTCCTCAGGTGCACGATTAAATTTCCAGAGTTGGTGAACATGGCGCCACATGTTTTGCACTCGTAAATCCGAGGCTTGCGGATAATGTGCCGGGAAACCCTCATGTGGTGTTTATATTCCCCGAAGGAAGTGAAAGTGGCACTACATATCTGGCACCGGAAACAGCGTTTACCTTCATGCTTTAGGCGATGCATCTTTAGCGAGTAAGCCCTGGTGAACTTTTTCCCACAGCGGTCACACTGAAATGGTTTAATTCCTACAAAATAAAGCAAAACAAAATATTATCTAAATACAAAATAAGTGGAAATGTCATAAACCTCACAGACTTCTGAACTGTAATTCTGTAGCAAGAGATAATCTGAAAAGACAAAAATCATCAGCAAAAATGAGTTCCAAACTCAGTATCTCAGAAAGGTACAGAACATCTAAGAAGTCACTAGTGCTTGAAAAAAGAAAGCGAGAAAGAAAGGCACCACGGGGTGGGGGTAACCGAGGTCATATATACTCCAACGGATTTTTGCACGCTTCCAAATCTTGTATTTTATAGACTTCAAAACACAATTTAACCAGAGTCCAAATCTTCACATAAGATTACTTCATTTCATTAAAGTAGTGAGGTTTATATTGAGAAGACGTGAAAATGATCAGTACCTACTCTTCATTTCCTATCTCAAGAGAAAAATGAGAAGAAAAAAGGGAAATTCTAACATCTCTGAACATAATTAGTGATTGCAACAGAACTACTACTTGATTGAGTTTTGGGGTATTTAATGTAATAGGATGGAAAAAATATGTAGAAATTAATATACGAAATATAAAGTATATTAATGGTCCCTTCCAATTCATTATCACAGTTTTAGCAAATAAAATTTCAAAACCCGGGGCTTCCCTGGTGGCACAGTGGTTGGGAGTCCGCCTGCCGATGCGGAGGACACGGGTTCGTGCCCTGGTCTGGGAGGATCCTGCATGCCGCGGAGCGGCTGGGCCCGTGGGCCATGACCACTGGGCCTGCGCGTCCGGGGCCTGTGCTCTGCAGCGGGAGAGGCCACAGCGGTGAGAGGCCCGCGTACCGAAAAAAAAAAAAAAAAAAAAAAAAAAAATTTCAAAACCCTTCAAAACATCATCCGTTGATTCAACAAAGTCATAGGGAATTAGTGTTAGCACAGGGAATGTTAGACCTATCTAAGTAAGATAGTTATACAGCTGAGAATAGTGGTAAAGATTTCTTATCAGAGGTCAGTGTTCTATCTGCAAGAATTTTACTGCCTTTATGTGAACACTTAAATTTCAAATATGTTTTACACATCATTTATCCAAAATCTCTTTTACACCAAAAAAATACTATAAGGCTGACTAATCAGGGCACAGAGAAATTTAGGATTGTAGAATTAAAATTAAATTATTGTTATTAATTTTAAAAAACTTTTTATTTGGAAATAATTATACATTTAGAGAAGTTACAAGAATAGTACAAAGAACACCAATATATACCCTGTTAACCCCATTTGCTTTACCGTATGTATTTGTGCTTTTCTCCCTCACATATATACACACATGCATCTGATATCCTTTTCATTTACATATTACACCCAACCCAAGTCTTAATGAGAATACTGATGCCTGTAAGCAAATACATTTCTGACAGTGCACCAATTCAGCAATGGACCTATGTTTATCTGTTCTCACTAGACTTCCCAGAGATAAACTTTTTTCTAACTCAAAAGCATCTGTTTACTGTTTTTAACTGGAATTTCAAAATAAAATGTTTTGGAGTGCTCATTTATGCCACAATAGGGATGATGATATTACCTGAGTGGATGAGCATGTGCTGTTTCAGGTTCTGAATACGGGTGAATCGCACCCCACATGTTGGACACTGAAAAGGTCTATCTGGACCATTTGGACTTGGCCGTTCTGTGCTGCTGGTGGAAGGAGCAATGTAGAGTTGGTAGGGATACTGAACATTTTCCAATCTAAAAAACAGACCAAAGAAGGCAACCAGGCTCTGATTTTTAAGTTCAATAAACATTTCTGCACAACTTTAAATGAACAACAACAACAACAAAACACTTTAAGACTTTCTGAAGCAGTTTAAAAGTTAGATTACAAGTTTCATTTATAACAATAGGAGAAACAATGTTATTGTCCAGAATGTCAAGTATCTTAAGTTAAGCAAGGTGGTATGAGCAAGCACATATCATAAACGATTTTACTTTAGGTATCCTTCATCTCTCTAATACTTTCCTTCCTACTACTGCTTTAATTCAGGCCCTCATCAATATATGGTTGAATTAATAACTCCTTCTCTTTAGTCCCACACCCCTTTAATCCATCCTCACTGTTTCACAGTGATCTCTCTGATTAAATCAGTCCCCTGATAAAAATCCTGCGATGGTTCACTGTTATCTTCAGAGTGAAGGCAGACAAGACTCCGCATGATCTGGGTCTGTGTACTCTTCCAGCCTCATTTCTTGTCATACTCCCCAAACATACCCATACCAAGCAGTTCCTCCTTAACAGTTCTCTCTCAGTGCTGTGCTTTCATATATTTAACTTCCTTCACATGCCTACCGTTTCTGCCTAAATAACACGCCCAGCCGTTTTATGAAATGTACCCAAGAAGTTACCTCCTCCTCCCGAAAGCCTTCTTTGATTCATCATCAGTGGTTTAGGTAGGTACCCTCCTATGCAGAGCAACAGACCCCTCTGCAGGTGACTCATGATTATCTGCTTACTTGTCTGTCTTTAACCTCTTCCCCCTCCCCCAAAGTTGGCTTGATCTCTTTGAGGGTAAAGGATTATTACGTTTCATCTCAATATGCCCACCACTCAGTACAGTATCTAGTATAGAACAGACCACCTCATTAATGTTTGAAATTAAGGAATCTAGGCATATTTCCATTTGTTTACACCTTCATTAACTTATTCAAATGACTCTGGTTCATAACCTGCTCTATCAGGTTTAGCTATTCAAGAACAATAAACCTTGTTTGAGTTCTTTGAATCCTTCAAGTTTTCAACAAATATACTTTTTAAGTCTGTCCCGGACTCTAAGGGGAGGAGTTAATTCAGTGAAGTCTATATTCAGTGGTCAGAGACAGACAATAAACACTCGAGAAAATGATCAGAACAGAGAATTAAAACAGAGTGATCCAGAGTGATCAGAGTGATCGGTGCTGTTTTACTTTAGACTGGTGGTCAGGAAAATCTTCCTTGAGAACTGACACTTAGACAGTGATCTGAAGATTCAGGAAAGAGTGAGCAATGTGGAAATTAGGGGAGAAAGCATTTCAGGCAGAGTAAAGGCCCTAAAATGGCAGACAGCCCCCAAAGCCAGAACAAATATGGACTAGAAATATTCTAGGAACTGAAAGCAGGTCAGCGTGGCTGGATGTGGTATGCAAGGAGGAGTATGGTCTGAAGGAAGTCCTATCAGGTAGGCCTACAAAGGCATAGTGAGGAGTTTAGATTTTAAGTGTGAATCCACTGGAGAATTTTAAGAATCTGCTACTTACAACAGCAACATAATCTGACTTAATTTAAAAAACAAAATCATTCTGGCTGCTACATGGAGAATGACTGGAGTAGGGGAGAATGAAAAAAAGGGGCCAGTTGAAGGTTACTGTAGTGAAGGCAAAAGATGGTGGTGACCTGGGCCGGGGTGGCAGTAGCAGAGCTGGAGAAGTGGACTGAGAAGGAGAAGTATATTTTGGATGCAGAGCTGACAGGACTTTTGCTTAAAGATTAACTATGGTGGTGGGAGGTGAGGGAAAGAAGGATCAAGTATAATTCCCAGAGACAATGCTTGGGAAACTGGGGGGATGATGGTGCTGTTTACCGAGACAGGAGGACTGGAAGAGCAGGTCTGAGGGGAGGGAAAGGCTAGAGTTCTGTCTTGGCCATATATTACGTCTTGGCCCTGCTACAGCTATGTGAAAATTATCACGCAGGAAGGGTCAATGTGAAGATAATGACTTGGGAACCATGAGTACATAGATAAGGGTTTGATAAACTTTTTTGGCAGTAGGTCAGATGTATTTGTTTTTGGCTTTGCACACCACATGATCTGTTTCAACCACTCAACTCTGCCATCCACAGACAATATGTAAACAAATGAGCATGTCTGTGTTCCAATAAAACTTGATTTACAAATAAAGGTGGTGGCTGGAATTGGCCTGTGGTCCACAGCCTGTCAACCCCTAGTATAGATACTATTTAAAGCAACTGGGCTGGGAAGTCTTGGAAATGCCAAAAAAAAAAAAACCTTGTACTATAAGTTGTCTAATTTATGTGGCTACCTGATGACTAAAAAATATACTAAAGGGAGGTCGCAATAAACTTATATTCCAGATAGAATTCCCAGATAGAATGTTTGGGTTTAGAGTTACAAGCACAGCCCTTACAAGAAAACTATGTACTATGTTAGTACTAACCGATCATCATCATCTGCGTGAGCACTGGTGCTAGAAGTGCTCTGAAGTGTAGGTAACCCTTCAGTGACGCCTTCATCTACTGAACCTGTGAATAAAAAAGACAGCTGTCAATAATTTGGTGTAATAAATAAAGCCAAGATATAAATTGTAAGCTGTGTCTCCAAGCCTCTGAACAGATTATCTAATGTATATACCCTGAATTACCGGTCAGAAGTAGTAGTGTTTTAAACTTTTTAACTTTTGTTTAATTTTTACATTTTATTATTTGGCTGCATTGGGTCTTAGTTGTGGCACACGGGGTCTTCGTTGTGACGTGCAGGATCTTTTGTTGCGGTGCATGGGCTCAGTAGTTGTGGCACATGGGCTTAGTTGCCCCGCGGCAAGTGGGATCTGGATTGAACACACATCCCCTGCATTGGAAGGCGGATTCTTAACCACTGGATCACCAGGTTAAGTCCCTACTTTTATTTTAATTAAACGTTTATGTGATTTAAAGAAATCACATGTGAAACAACAGCCTTATATCACTACTTTAATTCTTTCAAGAGTATTTCTTTGATATAAATTTTAGAAAGTAGAGCAATTCAAATGTAAACTAAACAAAAATTCACATAAAATTAAGTAATGTTGTAACAATCATTTAAGGAAGCACTGACAAGTTTTGTTTTTTAAAACTTATTTTATTGTGACATACAACTTACTTGTTGTACACACAACTTCCACATAGAATGAGAAAGACAGCTGTAAGGTGAACATCTGTGAAACCTCCTCACAACCCCCTAAAACCCTGGCAGTATCCTGAAAGTTCCCATTACCCTTCTCTGATCACAAACCCCTCCTTCCAGGAGGCAACCATCAGCATCCTCTTTCATGGTTATCATTTTTTTCCTTTTCTTCTTATCCTGCTTCCTTTTATTTATTTTTTATTTTCATTTGTTTTTGGCTGCGCTGTTCCGCTTGCTGGATCTTCCCCCAACCAGGGATCGAACCCGCGTCCTCGGCAGTGAAAGCACAGAGTCCTAACCACTGGACCGCCAGGAAATCCCCTCCCCCTTCCTTTTAAAAAGTAATTTTACCTCAAATGCATGTTTCCATAAACTAGGGGTTGTTTTATGCTACAACACAGCTGAACACCATCAAGGGTTGCTTTCACTCCAGTGGCAGAGTGGAGCAAGTGAGCTTGGGACAGAAGTCAAGTCTAAAATATTTACTATCACGCCCTCACCACGAAGAGTACGCAAGAGTACATACCATTTAATGGTGTCTGGTTTAAGCTTTACATAAAATGAGTCACACTGTATGTATTCTTATGTCTTGCTTCTTTCCTTCAATATTGTGGACTTATCCATGTTGTTACATGTAAATGAAGTTAGATACTATTCATCATCTATCCAATTCACTTTTTTTTTGTTTTTTTGGTACGCGGGCCTCTCACTGTTGTGGCCCCTGCCCCTGCGGAGCACAGGCTCCGGACGCGCAGGCTCAGCGGCCATGGCTCACGGGCCCAGCCGCTCTGCGGCATGTGGGATCCTCTCGGAACCGGGGCACGAACCCGCGTTCCCTGCATCGGCAGGCGGACTCTCAACCACTGTGCCACCAGGGAAGCCCTATCCAATTCACTCTTGATGGACAGTTTCAGGCTACTATGAGCAACACTGCTGGGAATATTCTTTTTTTTTTTTCTTGCGTTATGCGGGCCTCTCACTGTCGTGGCCTCTCCCATTTGCGGAGCACAGGCTCCGGACGCGCAGGCTCAGTGGCCATGGCTCACGGGCCCAGCCGCTCCGCGGCATGTGGGATCTTCCCGAAACGGGGCACGAACCCGCGTCTCCTGCATCGGCAGGCGGACTCTCAAGCACTGCGCCACCAGGGAAGCCCTATTCTTTTTTTTTTTTGTTCCCGACCAGGGATTGAGAACGCATGCCCCCTGCAGCGGAAGCGCAGAGCCCTAACGACTGGACCGCTAGGGAATTCCCTCCTGTGCATATATTCAAGTAACAATGCACATACACATGCTTTTTTTTCTGGGGTATCTATATCAGGAATGGACTTGCTCGGTCATAGAATACGTATTTTTTTAACTTCATGTATTTATTGAACCCCTCTTCTGTGACATGCCTGTTCAAGTCTTGCTACTGAGTTGTCTTTTTTTTTTTTTTTTTTTTTTTTTTTTGCGGTACGCGGGCCTCTCACTGTTGTGGCCTCTCCCGTTGCGGAGCACAGGCTCCAGACGCGCAGGCTCAGCGGCCATGGCTCACGGGCCCAGCCGCTCCGCGGCATGTGGGATCCTCCCAGACCGGGGCACGAACCCGTGTGCCCTGCATCAGCAGGCGGACTCTCAACCGCTGCGCCACCAGGGAAGCCCGAGTTGTCCTTTTTATCATGAGTTCTTTTCATGTTTCGGATACAGAATCTTTGTAGGTAAAAAGATGTTACAAATATTTTCCCCTCTTACATGGCTTGTCTTTTTACATTTTCTTTTGATGACCAAAAAATTTATATTTTAATTGAATTGATCAGTCTTTTCCTTTATGGTTATGGCCTTCAGAGCTTGTTTTTAAAAATCCTTCCCTATCTCAAGTTACCTTATGAAAGATTTAGGTTTTGCCCTTGGCACTTCTCTTTAACACACCTGGAAGTTGATTTTGTGATGGAACACAGTTACTGGAAAGTCTGTCTTTTCTCCTCTGCTCTGCAGTGCTCTAAAAGCAAGGGTCTGTTTCTGGGTTCTCTACTAGTTCCCTCTGCTTGTCTGTACTTGCATGAATGCCACACTTTAGTTACTGTAGCTTTATAATAAATCTTGATTTGAGGTGGATCAAATCCTCTCACCTTGTTCATTTGCTCCCTGAACATCTTGGCTATTCCTGGCCCTTCGCATTTTTTACATTTTAGAATCAACCTGTTGAATATAAACGATAATAATCATTCCATTTCCCCCTTTCTATTAGTTCGGAAATTAGTCTTTTCCTATTCACTTTACTGGTTGCTTTGGAAATTAGACACATACTTAACCAAGTCTAAAAACTTTTCCTTCCTCATGGACGACAGAAGGATCTTACAACATTTTAACTTCATTTCCCATACACACCCATTCTTCAATTTACAAATTATTGCCTGACGTTTTACTTCTTTGTTTTGATAAAGCCCCTACTCTTTCATATAAGCAATGTTTGTCCACATCTGTTCACATGTTTTCCTTTCTTTGCTCTTCATTCTCTTGTGTATATTAAACCTTCCATCTGTGTTCACTTCACTTCTACCTGTAGTCTATCCTTAAACATTTCTTTAGTGATGGTATACTGATGAATTCTGTTTTTCTTTGAGAATGTCTTATCTGCATTCTTGAAAGATATTTTCACTGTGTGGAGACATCTGGATTGGTAGGTATTTCCTTCAGCATATTGAGGATATCATTTCACTGGTTTTTAACATTATTTAAAAGTCAGATATTCTTCTGAAGGCAATCTGTCGTTAATTTTTTTTCCCGGAATTTTCTCTATAATGTGTCTAGGTTCATGTTTCTTTTCATCTTTTCCCAGTTTGGAATTTGCTGGTCTCTTATCTATGGACTGTTGTCTTTCGTAGATTCTGGAAAATTCTCAGCCATTCTCTCCTCTCCTTTTAGGACTTCCATCATACCTATGTTTGTACCATCCATAACCCTTACCCTCTTTTACACCTGTAGTCTCTACCATTGTCTGGTGATGGTTAATTTATGTGTCAATGTACTGGGCTAAGGGGTGACCAGAGGGCTGGTAAAATATAATTTCTGGGTGTGTCTGTGAGGGTGTTTCCAGAGAGATTAGCATTTAAATTGGTAGACTCTGTAAGGAAGATCATCTTCACCAATTGCACGTGGGTATCATCCAGTCTGGCGATGGCCTGAACAGAACGTGAAAGAAGGGCAAATTTGCTCTCTGCTTGAGCTGGGACATCCATCTTCTCCTGCTCTTGAACATCAGCACTCTGGTTCTTGGGCCTTTGGACTCGGACTGGGATTTTGGACACTAACAGGCCAGCAGTTCCCAGGCCTTTGGATTTGGGCTGGAACTACACAACCGACTTTCCTGGCCTCCACCTGGCAGACAGCAGATTATGGAATTTCTAACCCTCCAAAATCATGTGAATGAATAATCCCTCCGAATAAACCTCCTTCTGTGTATCTATATATATGTCCTACTGGTTCTGTTTCTCTGGAGAACCCTAATAGTTTCTCTGTGCAGCACTCAGGTGATTTCTTCTAATTTATCTTCTGATTCACCAATTCTCTCTTCTGCTGAAATCCCATCTGCTGCCAAAATGTTTGATATCCATGTTTCCTGCGTGCTCTGGTTGTTCTGACAGTGGTTACTGCCCTTGAAAATGATTTGCAGGGGACTGATTTGCTAAGGGGAGGATGAATATACCCTCTTCCAGAAAAGCTTTGTTTGCCTCTGCTAGGTTCCTAGAGGGCAGGCCCTATCTAACCCAATTCACTGTTTGAGATTCGCTGGCCTACCCGTGCAAGGAGTAAGCAGGATGTAAATCTGCAGGAGGCTGGTCTGTGCCCATCACTTCTCAGGGATGTGTTTTTCCCCCTTTTCCCTTTTCATCTCTTAGTCGGCCCACTGCCAAGGCAGCTGTTTCTAGAGTCCCCTGTGGAGTCTGGAGGAAGGGGAGCAGGTTGAGTCCTAGTGCTTAATGCGTGGGGCAACTTCTTTAAGACTTCACAGCTTTCATATGCTCTGGGTCGACCTCTGTTTCCCTCACTCTTCGACTTGATGAACCAAAGCCCTCTTGTGTTTTGGCAAATGTCTTACGGAAAAACTGGTTTTAGTGCTCTGATATGTACTTACCTCTCTGCGTCAGACTCCCCCCTAAAATTAACCTGGCAGTTCCCTAACCATCTTTTCAAATACTTTAAAAGGTGACTTAAAATAAAAAGATCACATTGTTTTCAGCGGGAGGGTAGATCCAACCAGCCTCGCCTGTTCTCATCAGGTACTAAACCCGGCCAATGTCTTTATGGCGTGTGAATAAGCTGTGCTGCCCCAGGTGAACAAACGAGCCTCTGCGGCTGTGCAGTCCTTACGGCCAGCACTC